TAAATCAACATCCTCAAAATCTCACTACTCTCATTGTTCACAATCCTCCCCCCCTTCTTATCCCACAACACCGGCACCGTAAACCGTCCCTCATACTCCGGGTTCACCCCAAAGTAAACCTCCCTCAAATGACTCAAACGCCCCTCGTGAGGCACCACACCCTCCCCCTTGACATCCTCCTGCTCAGCCTCCTCATCAGTCACAAACCTCCACCCTTTCGGTCCCATATGCCAGTGGACAACACTAAAGGAGATGATGTCCTCCAGCCCCTTGAGCTTGCGGGCAATGAGCGTCCTGTTGGCCCAGGGGCAGGCATAGCTCACGTAGAGGTGGTACCGGCCCGCTTCGGGGGGGAACTCGGAGCCGGGGGACGAAGAAATGAAGGAGCGGAAGGTGGACTGCTGGCGTTTGAACTCGCCTGACTTGTCGGAGGGGTTGACCCAGTTTGTGATTACGTTGTCGTCCTTCTGCACCTCCTTTCCGGAGGGAGTGTCTTGGGCTGCCTAAAAGGGGGGGGGTGTTAGTTTGGTTGGGAGAGATGGGAGGGGGAGAGGGGTATTACCATTTTGAAGTTGGTGGTGGTGGAAAGATATCGATGTGTTGACACTTTGATCGATGATGTGAATGAAGAAGAGCGTGTAATCCTGAACGAACCCTTGCTCAAATGTGAAAGTGCTGCTGTCCCTCTCAAAAGCGGAGATATACTGCTTCTTATACTCATCGGTCGTTGCTTCGTCCCAAACTTTCATGAGACGGAAAGCCAATGATGAGATGAGGGGTCCAAGTTCTTTGGAATCAATCAGCAACGGAATGACTAAGGGTTCTGCATTTGGTTTATACCACTCCCGTCCACTTCCGTCATCAAAACCCAGTGTTGTTGCAGTTCGTCCCAGGAATATATCCACTCACTACCTCACGTCAAGTGTGGATTCATTCACCAACTGACAAATGGTGACGTAATCCCCACTATTCCCACTGGGCTTACTAACCGTCAAACTCATCGCTGGTTCAACCATTCGCGACGCGATAGCGGTTTAGAAGCGCTTTGTTTAGAAGGTGGTCAAATATGAGTAAGCAATATCGTATAGGTAGACCAATTTCCGGAAACAATTCCGGTCGGTTTGTGGGGACACCAACTTGGTGTTGAGATCACGGCCTTTAGGAGTGAGACCCACCAGCCTCATCGACGATATCCTGCAAGATACCTAGCAAAAGATCTGAGATTATCTTTTGGAATTTGTTTCCGAAAAAGAACAAGACTATCTCAGACTGCCAGCAAGATTCAACTAGAAGCAGAATATCCCGAATGCATATCCAACTTTTATAACTGCAAAATCCCTCCCAAGCTGTTGAACAGATCCAACTTCAGATATTATTCCAAGCATCGAGTTCCCATCAGCAAAACAAGCAAGACGTATATAAAATGCCAACATAGCAAAAGAGAAAAATAGATTTTGCTTCCATTAGCAACAGCCCCCCCCCCCCCCCCAATCCCAGGTATCATCATAGTACATTACTACAGGGCGGCATATTTCCACGCCCATTAACGACAAGAGAACAAAATGAGCAAAAGCCAACCCATCCAATAACACCCAAGTCACGCCATCCTAAATTGCTTTTGTGCTTTCCCCTTCTCCAAAATCCAATTCCATTTTTTCCTAAGATATAAACCCCCCCCCCCCACCGCCAACTAATAACCAAACCAAACCAACCTCCCTTCTTCACCACTCAAGCGGCTCAGTCTTGGTCTCACCCCTATTCGTCTTGGGGACTGGCACGGCCTTGGCTGCCAGCTTGCCACCCTGCCCCTTCCTCTTCAGGTACGCCCTGCCGTCCAGCCAGGGGGTCTCGAGCGTCATCTTCTTCTCAAACTCGGAGATCTTATCCTCGAGCTGCATGGTAAGACCAATGTCGTCGAGCCCGTTGACCAGGCAGTGCTTTCTAAACTCCTCCACCTCGAAGCTGCAGATGGTGTTGCCATCCTGGTCCTTGATGAGCTGGTTGGGGAGGTCAATCTCGATCTCGCGACCGGCGGCCGCCTCGGCGTGCACCTTTTCGAGGTCGTCCTTGTTCTTGATGGCGATGGGGAGCATGCCGTTCTTGAACGAGTTGTTGAAGAAAATGTCGGCAAAGGAAGGAGCAATGACGCTCTTGACGCCAAAGTCGTTCAGAGCCCAAGGGGCGTGCTCGCGGGAAGAGCCGCAGCCAAAGTTGGGACCGGTGCAGACAATGATCTTGGCCTGACGGTATGGCTCCTGGTTGAGGACAAAGTCGGGGTTCTCAGTGTTGGCATCAAGGTAGCGCCACTCATAGAAGAGAGCCTTGCCAAGACCGGTGCGCTTGATGGTCTTCAGGAACTGCTTGGGGATGATGGCGTCGGTGTCAATGTTGGCCTTCTCCATCGGGGCGGCGATGCCCTTGAGAACGGTGAACTTGGGAAGACCGGTGCTGCCGGCCTTGGGGACAGAGGTGTTGACCTGAGGAGATGAGTCTTCGGGCTGGTCGGTGAGAGCTTCCTTCTCATGGTCATCCGTCTCGATGCGCTCATCAGCATGAGCCTTGCCAGAGGTGGTCTCGGGCGCGACAGCGGCCTCGATGTGAGGGCTGCCCTTGTACTCGGCAAGCTTTCTCACATCGGCGAGCTTGCCGACGATGGCGGCAGCAGCAGCCATGACGGGGGACATGAGGTGGGTCCGGCCCTGAGCACCCTGACGGCCCTCGAAGTTGCGGTTGCTGGTGGAGGCGCATCTCTCCTTGGGCGACAGAATGTCAGGGTTCATGCCCAGGCACATGCTGCAGCCAGCCTCGCGCCACTCGAAGCCGGCATCGGTAAAGATCTTGTCGAGACCCTCAGCCTCGGCCTGCTCCTTGACGAGACCGGAGCCGGGCACGATCAGGGCACGCTTGATGTTGGAGGCAATCTTCTTGCCCTTGACGACCGAAGCAGCGGCGCGGAGATCCTCGATTCTGGAATTGGTGCAGGAGCCGATGAACACCTTGTCGACCACAATGTCCTCCATGGGAGTCCCTGCTGCGAGACCCATGTACTCCAGCATGCGGCGGCCCGCGGCCTTCTTGGCCTCGGTGGGGAAGGTCTCGGGATCGGGAACGCTGCCGGTGATGGGTACGACGTCCTCAGGGCTGGTGCCCCAGGTCACCGTGGGGATGATGTCCTTCCCGTCGATATGAACATCAATGTCGTACTTGGCATCCGGGTCGGACTGCAGGGACTTCCAGTAGGCGACCGCCTTGTTCCACTCGTCAGACCCACACTTGGGGGCCAGGGGGCGGCCCTTGAGGTACTCGAAAGTGATCTCGTCGGGAGCGACCATGCCGGCTCTGGCACCACCCTCGATGGCCATGTTGCAGATGGACATGCGGGCCTCCATGCTCAGGCTGCGGATAACGGAACCGGCAAACTCGATGACGGACCCGGTGCCACCAGCCGTACCAATCTTGCCGATGATGTGCAGGACCACATCTTTGGAGCTGACACCGGGGGACAGCTCTCCGTCGACCAATATCCTCATGTTCTTGCTGCGCTTCGTGATGAGGGTCTGTGTGGCGAGGACGTGCTCGACTTCACTGGTGCCGATACCGAAGGCGAGGGCACCAAAGGCGCCGTGGGTCGACGTGTGACTGTCGCCGCACACAACCGTGGTGCCAGGCAGAGTGAAGCCCTGCTCGGGCCCGATAACGTGGACGATACCTTGTCTCTTGTCGCTCAGGCCAAAGTATGTGACGCCAAACTTCTTGACATTCTCCTCGAGGGTCACGCATTGCGTCCGAGAGTCGTCCTCCTGAATGAAGCTGGCAATGTCTCTGAGAGTTTTTCTCGAGGTGGTGGGGACATTCTACGGGATCCAGTGTCAATGGCCGATGATGACGTCTTCAAACGGACATGGAAACATACGTGGTCAGTTGTGGCCAGAGTGCAGTCTGGTCTCCGGACCTTGCGGCCGGCCTTTTCTAATCCCTCGAAAGCTTGCTGTTGACAGTGTGTTAGTTTGATATTCGGGTCAACAGCAAACAACAGACCAGACGACATACTGGAGAGGTGACCTCGTGCACGAGATGGCGGTCGATGTACAGAAGAATGGTACCATCGAGCTTCTCGTCGACAATGTGGGCCTGGAAGACCTTGTCGTAGAGGGTTTGTGGTGTTCGCTCGGCAACCGGCATTTTTGTGTCGTTTGTCTGATTCGTTCTCCTCCGGGGAGTTTTTTTTTTGTTTCCGCCCTCTCGATGTGTGTGTGTGTTTGCGAAGTCAAGCAATGCTAGAGGAGCGGGGGACAGTTGTTCAGCGGAGTCTGTGATATACAACCACTTTTTCAGATGTCGTTGCTCTTTGTTGAGTTGCTCTTTCAAATGAATAAAAAAAAGAAAAAAAAAAGTGTCGAGTCGAGAGTGACGAGTTGGTGAGGGCAAGAGAACAAAGTTCCTTCGGATGGAAAAACTCCTCTCTCGAGCAACAATCTCAATCTAGACTCAAGAACTGTGGCAAAAACCAAAACAATTCTCGTCTCTATTCTTGTGAGAGGCAACCTCAATCTTATAAAGTACCGCCCCTCCTCGGGGGACGATGACGGATTTGGGCTTTTGGCTGGGCTTGCAAGTGTTTCCAATCCAGCGGCAAAGCCGATGATCGGAGAGCTGCAGCTTGCTCCGGTTCACGGAATGCGGGGTGGCCACCTCAATTTCTAAACCTCATCCCGCCATTGGCTGACCGTCTCCAGGATGGCCTGTCTCTCCCCGCCCCAGGCCCCCCAGCAGGGTTGAGCAGCGGGGTCCCTCAGCCTGCGCAGCGAACAAAGTTAGCGTACCGCCCGGGCCGGAATCGAAGGTTCGATAACCCACCCCACAGCGATCAACCCAGCATCTCGACAGAGCTTCATCCGCATCTCTACGTAACGACAACAGCTTCCATTCGCAGGCGGGCTTTAATAGAAAACTCTGTAATATCATTCTGCTCTCTCAGCTTCTATCGTATAAAAAGAAACTTCTTCTGAGGGATATAAACAGATATCCTCCTCAAAAGCAGGGTAAAAGCCGATAGAAGCCTTTCGGTATTCCGTAGATCATCACACCTCCAACAAGAAATCTCGACATTTCCCCACATTCTCGTCTGATTCCCGCGACTCACACATGCCACACAGCGCCCAGTCCTTCCAAGTCTGACATACATATCACAAGAATCGTTCCCTTACCCTCTACCGATTCCCCCTCGGCCTCCCCCCCCCCCCCCCAATTCCGGTTTCCCACTCCTCACCACTCCATATCATGTCTCGGCCGGATAGAAACATAAATAACGAGTCTCATATCTCTACACCTATATCCTCATCATACACTCCAGAAAAAGGGACTCTGCATAGTGCACACACATGTCTGTCGTGCCTTGACCGCCCATCCCATCCATCCTATCGCTCGGCAACGTGTACAATGTATAAGTACCTACCGTTCTATTCCTATACCCCCGGCATCGCCCAGCATGTCCAATATCCCCAATTTCAACCAACCAGATCCCAACAGCCTTCCCCCTTCCTTCCCCTGTCCCATCCCAAAAAAGCCCATCAAACCCTCGATGCGAATTGCCGACCCCCATTCTATGGGGCAATGTACCTCCAGTCAGTCTTATCAGCCTGCAACCTCACCGTGCAACCCACTTCGGTTTAACAACACACAATCTTCTTATCATCAGTCCATCACTCATCATCAGTCAAACTCCTCTCTCACCAAAAGCCAACCAAGTCAACAACTGTCTCAAATAACCACTACTCCATACCAATTATTCCGTGTGCTAGACAGACTACCCCTACAGTAGTACGTACAACACTAACAAAAATACCATCCTCTCTCTCTGCCTCAGCCCCCGCCAAAACCTCAAAATCCAGCCACAACACTCAACCCCCTACCCACCGCCTTCACCACTCCCAAAACCGTAAGAACCCCCCTAACCAGCCACATCCCCACACACAACACCCCAAACAGAAACACCACGGCGCCCACCCCAACCCAGACATCTTCCCACGTTGACTGCGCCAGCTCAAACCGCCTCCTCAGCTCCGACTCGCCGTCAAAAACCGGCTTGACCATCCCCCAGTGTGCTTCCACCAGTCCAACCACCAAGTTCAGCACCACAACCATCCAGCTCACCACCTCTCTGCACACATCACCAACCTTCAAAGACCCCTCGAACCGCCTGACCCCCCCCTTGGTGACCGTTGGCGTGTTCCTGTCCCCCGCTAGTGTAGTCTCCAAAGGGGCTAGATCTTGGCCTTGGTCATCCTGCCGATCCCCCTCCGGCTCCGCCGCGGCCTTGGCTTTCGCTTCCGCCCCACGGGGAAGTCGCCGATGCCGATCCGACATCATTGTTGTTCCTTTGAACCATGCCGACGCCGACACCGGAACCGGTACCGTTCGTGTCCCGTCACAAGACGTCGGCTCCTTTATCGGTAAGGCCTGTGGCTCCGTCTTTGGGTCGTGAACGAGATGTGTGAGCGCTGCTCTGGCTGCTCCTCGTGCAATGGCGTGATCCAGCTCCTCGTCTGCTTCCTGAGCTGGTGACTGATGGTGTGGACGAGGACGGAGGGTAGAGGTGGACTTTGGCCAGGATGGGCTTCGGCTCTGAGTGTTTGCGGTGCCGCCTCCTTCCCCGTGTTTCTCCTTTCTCATCGTCTTGCGCATCTCCCTGGGCTCCGACTCCTCGGTGCCGTCGCCGTCGCCGTCCGGCTTGGCCGTCTTCTCTTCTGGTGTCTCTGGTCCTGGCTCCTCTGTCGCCAGCGACGTAAAAGCGGTCTCTGGTTTTGGCTCTTCTGGTGTTGGCAGCAAGTCCCGAGCACTTGGTAGCACCGCCACCTCCAGTTCTGTAATGATTGTCGACGTAGCCACTGTCGTGAGAGTCTCGCTTTCTCCGTCGCTCGGCGAGTTGTTCGGTTGCGTGCCGAGAGGGAAAGCCGGTACCTCTGAACAGACGCTGCTGGGTGTCCGGGTCAGAGACCCCAGTGATGCGGGACTCGAGCCTTCCATGATCATCGTCATCGGTGACCGAGGCCCGTCTCTCCACTCGTCGACTGGTTCGACACAAGGACGGCCGTCCACGAGCGGGGGAGGCTGACCGCGTTCGGAGCCAGTAGTGGTGGTGATGGGTGTGTAGGCAAATCGGGGTCCCCGGTCGTTGTTCGTGCTGCTCGTTCCCCAGAGCCCCATGGCGGTTGTGTGAGCCTGGTTGCTCTCGTCGAGGCGGCTCAGATCGTCCAGCAGCCTGGCTGCCCAGAGATCCGCCGGCTTCACGTTTTCCAGCTCCAGGGGCTTGCTACTGGTGATCCTTGGGGGGATCTTGTTCCCCGGTAGACTGTAACGGAGCCAACGCTGTCTGAAGCTGCCCCGATCTGGTTGCTCCTCCGACTGGCCGTCGCCGGACTTGTTTGTCTCCGGGTGGCCCGAGGCTACACGACGAGGGACCATTGGTGGAAGGCTGAAGCCAAGCGACTTTGGTCTCGGGAGCGTGTGAGGCTTCAGCTTTGCCGTCTCTGCATTCCCGTCCACCCTGTTGCGTGTCTGGTGATGGTGCTGGTGCCGGGTCGAGACGGCGGGCAGGTTGGTGTCTCCTGCTCGAAGGGCCGGACGGCTTGCTTGACTTGCCGTCACCGCCGTCGCCTTCCCTAAAAAAGGACCACGAGGTGAACCGGCGCTGACGGGTGTCCTATGGACCGTGGTTGCCTCGCTGTCCGAAGTATCGGGGGACATCATACTCCTCTGTGACTGCGGTATAGGGCTCAAGTCTGGCTCGGCCACGCAAGCCCAGGCTTCTCCCTCTTTCCGCCAGACTACATTTCCGCCATGCTGGTTCAGCACTGTTCTGGCCGCCTCCTTTCTCCGCTCCGCCTTTTGGTGCTCCTTTCTGATCTGAGCCTCAGTTTTGGCAGCAACATATGCCTCGCGCGCATCCTGTGCTGTGTGGGCGAGTGCTGCGAGATGGGAGTCTGTGGGAGAGGACACCGTTGCGTCTTCGGAGCTCGTGGTTGGAGTGATGACATCCATGACGCCAGTGTGAGGGTTGATGCTAGTGACCCCAAGGAAGTCGCCGCTCTGCTTCAGAGTCCGTCGTTGCTGGCGAAGCTCTTGCTTTGCGAGGTAGATCTCCCTTGTATCGCCTGTAGACATCGTAGGCTGAGGTGTCGGGATATTGCTTTTCTTTGCCGTGGCGTTGCCGCGAGGTGCCCAGTCGCGCCGGTCTACCTCAACAGGATGAGGTTTGTCCTGCTTTAGGGCAGAGGTGTTGATCGTCAACCTCGGCAGCGATGAAGCAGGTTGCTTGCCCAAAGCGGCTCGCGTGCTCTGCGTCCGACGAGGAATCGGTATGGGCATGTTCCAGCGACTGGCCGGGATGATATCGGAGTCACGGGGACCTGTGACGCCGCTCGGGGCACTGCTTGCGGCCGGGACAGGTATACTGCTGCCTTTTTGTCCGTCTGCCGAGGACGAAGAATTTCTTTTGTGTCGAATAGTTCCACCTCTCTCAGGGCGTTTACTGGGACGAAGCTTGTTGAAGAAGCTTGACATGGACGTGGTGATGTTTCTCCTGCTCCCAGATGGGGGGGACCCGTTCGAGCGTCGAGGAGGCAGAGGCTTGACATCTTGACGATTATTCCGGTCGTCCAGTATTCGAAATGGGGAGGGCGACGGTGCCTGGGGCCGTCCGTGTCGCGAGGGGGCAGACATGTTGAATTCCGGGCAGTAGCTTGTGCAGAGATAATAATGCTCTCTCCCCGGGATGTGATGCTAGCGGTGCGGCTTTGGAGAGCACCCGCTCGATGAGTCGGATGTGGGATAGGGTGAGGTGAGGTTGGAGGGTCAGTTCAGACAATCAGGTGAACAAACTGGGTACCGTCCAGGTTGCACCCAACCCACCCTCATGGCAAGAACAGACGACAACCAGCAGGCAAGTGCCGGTTGTGATCCGGACACTCTCGATCCCGTCTCTCCAAGGTGACTTCCGTCTGGCTGTGCATATCTCCTTCCATCACAAGCATCGGGCCGGTGATGTTCTTCGTTCCTCCGGAACATGTCTCGGTGCTCAAGCCTAGCAGACCACTTGCCCATGATGTCGTGAAGGCTCACTCACAGCTGTGTCTTCCTGACAGGATTAGGAGCGTTCCATTGCTCGTGCTTTGCGTCTTGGGGTCAAACTAGTGCACCCCTTGTATGAGATAGACGGCACATGTAGTCTAGCACCGTGTGACAGGCGTCAGATTCACGGGTGCTGGCTTGGCGAGCGATCTCACCGCAGTGCCACGTCGTAGAGAATCTGTACCTAGATGTAAGTTAGAGGTACGGCAGTTTACCATGCCTTTACCGCTGTCACTTCTCACCGTCATGGCAGCTCCCTAAGGTGAGGTAACTCGTACATTCTACCTTGCAATTGTATCATCCATACACATTTCCCCCTTCTCCCCCACCATATTTTCCCAACCCAGAATCTGCATCCCCCCCATTGATATAGACCCTATAATGCAATCCCAAAACTCCCATAAAGCATCAACCCTTT